ATGTATTCTTTTTAACTTACTCTAGGACACAGAGTAGACATTAGTCTCTACAGAGGATGAAATGAAGTCTTCTAGAGAAAATCAGAGTATAGCATTTGTTTTGGCAAAACATAATTAATGGAAAATCATTTTATTTTACCTCTACAGAATATATATATATATATATATATTCTGTAGAGGTAAAATATATATATATATATTTACCAATTAAAATAAAAGAATGCAAAGCCTCTGGCAATGATGTGCTTTTATATCCATCCTCCAAATTTCAGTTTGTTGGGCAAGTATACTCTGGAGAGATAATCTGATGACAGGAAAGTCAAAGCCTGGATCTCCGCCTTCAGTTTAGAGTCTGCCATCATTTCCATCTGTTAATAAGGTAAAACAGACCAGAGTTCTGTGCTGTTGTTTGGTCAATTCAGCAAACTATTAAATCTAGACTTGTTTTATTTTCCAGAACAACAGGTGATAGTCTTTCAGTCAGCCAGAATATTCTAGAGCTGCTATAGGTAAAAAACGTCAAGAGTAAGAATCCCTAGTATGGTATCTTCAATAATTGGAAATGACCTGTGACCTTTCTTCTTTTTAATCCCAGAAGCTATGATACCGGCATGACAAAGGGCCTATAACTCTAAGAAGGGTAAAGACAGACAGGCTGTATCCAGCTGATCTTATCTACAAGCATTTGTTCATATGAGTCTATTTCAACAATTATTTACTGTGGAAACACACTAACGTTAGTTGTTGCTTATATGAAATTTCAAGGACATCTTTAAATTACGTGACTAGCCACTAATAAAATAAAAGACAAGTAAACACACAACACTTAATTTTAAAGCAAAGCAACATATACTTCTTTTCTCCAGAATGGTTGGCAGTTAACATAAGGTCTCTTCAGGATACTGTGGAGTTTCATCTGGTCATGTTTTGTCAGTGGAATCAAACTATCTTTGGGTATGTTTAACCTGGAAAACAATAGGTGAGAAAGTCACTAACAATGTGTTCCTGTAACATATATTTGTTGTCTATTTCAAGAAACTCAGAAAAGCAGATTAAAAAATCAGTATAGATCTACCTCTTAAATCCAGCATTTAATGGCCCTGCCAGGACCTAGACCAGCAAGCTTTCAAGTTCACAGTGGAAGTTTAACCATAGTAAATAGAATTTCAGTTCTAAGTTTTTTATTTTCTTCTTGTCACACTCACAGGACAATGACAGGAAGAAAGACCTTGGTTGTTAAACAAATGCCCACAGGGCTGACATCATGAGTATACCACCAAGGCAGCAATGGAGGCATGGGGCAAAGCCCCCCAGAGCTTCACACTCTTGGAGCTATGAGCTCCAACACACATGGCCTGCAGCTGAGATTTACAGAGGAGCTTTAGGCTGCATTAAGTGTCTAAATCATACAGGATTCTGGGCCACAGACGTTAGCCTATTACTTTCCACTTAAGCACATACACAGACACATACATATTCGCCTAGAGAGTTTTAAGATGAAAAAAGTAGAATGTAATTTTATCTTGGTATGTGCTTTAAAAATAGAACGTGAGAGGTCCAGGATTTATGGTGTAATCTACTTTTTGAAGTCACAAATCCTAGATTTCCCAAGAGAGCTCTAGTTTCAGTCTTTTTCAATGTCCCCATAATTATGACCATTTGCCAGTGAGGTCCTTAACACGGGTGACAGTGCAATGGAAAGAGAGACCGAGAGCTCCCCCGTGGCATGTTTGTGTGGCTGCCACGGTTTTCTCCTAGCTGGCCTGTTTGTTTGGAGGGTACTGGTGGGACTGAAGAGAAGCAGGTAGTGTTTTTCCAAGCCCTCTATCTTAAAAATTATCAGATCATTTGTCCTGAATTTGTTTAGAAATGGTCCTCACACAAATAGATCACAGCCAAGGGATTTTGACCATGACATGTAATCTGCATTGAATAAAACTGTAATTCACTGGATGTAAAAATTCAAAAATCAGAAATGAAATGATTCCCCTGTGCTCTTATTGTAACTGTGCATATTCCATTTTTATGAAATAAGCATCTGTGCCAAAGATTGTACATTGTCTAAAGAAGTCCAATAAACATTCTCACATTTGCTCTCACTGGAAAATTCAAACAAGGAACGTTGCAAAAGATCACCTTGGCAGAGATGAGGCAGTGGTGTGCTCCCATGCTGGGGCAAGTAGGCTCTTTTCTCCAGACAGAGTTAAGTTAGCCCAAGGGCTCCAAATCCTGTAATATGTGACACTCTGACCCCTCAATTCTGGGAAGTCAGCCTCTGAGACTAATGACACAGGTAGAGACTCATTGCCAGGGTCCATTAGCACACTGTCCACCAGAACAGAGTTTGGAAACCTTCCTAGCTATGAGGGTCCGACTAAATAAACATGGAGCTCAGTAGTAGATGTTGTGAGGTCACACAAGAGAAACGAATGTATGGAAAAGTGATCACATTGTATTGTGTGGTAGAAAAGCAGAATACAAAATGACAGTAAAGTGGATCACTACTTTGGGAAAAATTATCGCTGTGCACAGAAAATAATCGATAAAAGCAAAGCTGCCTAACTGTGAATTTTGTTCTGCTACTTACTGATATTTTTCTATACTGAATATATAAAATTTGGCACACTTGAGGCCCCCAAACTTTAAGTAATCACAAAATGTGATTTTTTTGTGAAGTTAAAATTTTAAATGTATGATAAAATTGAATCATATTGCAAATGATGCTGGTGGTTACCATTTACTTAGATTTCATGTATTATACTTTAAGTATGAAAAATTTACAAAATGTTTTAATTATAAGAGGAAAAGCAACGATTTTGTAGCTAGCTGAAAACACAATTAACCAAACTTATTTGTTAAGTATTTTAGTGGTAGAAATAGAAACTCTGGTGAATTTAGTTCATAATTATATAGTCCTGAGTCATAGTGGACGATATAAATAAAAAGCATTAGGAGCTTCTTCTTGTAGTGACTTACTGCGACATCTCACAATGAATCACCATTTAAATGTCCTCATTCTGCTATACCATCTAACCTTTTAATATCAGAAGGGAGGAGACCAAGCCATCTAATAGCTGGAACCGTGAGGTTGTGGGCTTCAAAAGACATTGACTGAAATAAAGAGTAAATGAATATTAGGTGAGGCTAACTGGCAGGAAAATACAATATTTCACTAAGAAGGGCCAAGGGTTACACTGCTCAGTAGTATTTCTGTATTAATTTTCTATGAAGCAAAACAACAAATGACCTCTGACCTCCTTTCTGTTGTGATCCCATAGTAGGGGCGATAAGTAAATGCAGAAGATGTGTAAATAGTGGAAACGGGAGGAACTTTCTGAACTCACCATGGACCCATACTTATAGATGCACATTATCTCGATGCCTGTTAAAAAAGCAACTTTAAAATTAGTCTCATATATTACAGGCTAGAACATTTGCACTCGCAAATTTTACCTAACATCTACATTCTTTATTTCTGTGGACATCACCAATGAAAAATTTATGACTCTCAGTTTAATATGGAAAACATAACCATGAATTGTCTTAAGTTAGTCTTTAATTTGAATTTAATAATATTCTCAAAGTATTTTACGAAAGTGTTCTAAGAGCAGAAAACCACAGCTGCAAGTAAGATTTAGTCATGGTTGTTCCAAATGGTCCAAGGAGAGATCACCGTGGGGATCAGCGTCACCAGCGTGAAGACAGGGATGTGAAACGCGTCCCATAGCCTCTTCACTAAGAGCCTTGTGTTCAGGTCAGGTATTCCCTTTCCCTAAAAGCAAGACAGAGGCCAGCACTTTAGTCCCAGCAGAAGGCAGTGGCTACAACTGCACCCTTATTTCGTTAACATTTCAGAGGAAGCCCCTCCAACATGCTGACTTTCAATGGGGAGCCTCAGGCTGACTGTAAACAAAATGTGCACCAGGGAAAGGAGTCTACCTGCATTCATTCGTATCTTTGCCTGGGTTATGCCAGTCCCAGGAGATGATCCCAAGGAAAAATTTTGGCAGGAGCAAAACTAATAAAAACCCTGCATATTAAACATGCTCACCACAGTGTTATTTAAATGGCAAAAGGTAACCAAAACAACTAGGCAAAAATCTAACTATATGGACAAGTGGCACAGCACAGTGGTGACAGGACACCTGCTGTGGGGGCCATAGAACCTGGGCTGGCATGTCAGTTCTATACTTCTTAATGGCATGCACTTGAGTTACAAAACCCACAACTTCTTATAAGGTTATTATAGAAATTAAGTATTTAATAATCAGAAAGCACTTAAAAGAGCACCAGGCTTAAATTTAGAGTTTAATATGCCCTAAATGATGGAATAATATGAAGTCATTAAAACAATAATGTGAAAAGTAAATTTTTTTGAGACAAGGTCTTGCTGTGTAGCCCAGGCTGGCCTCAAACTCACAATCCTCCTGCCTCAGCCTCCTGGGTGCTTGGATTACAGGTATGTGCCACCATGACTTGCTAGAAAAGTAATTTGAAGAACATTTTAATAACGTTAAGCAAGATGAGCAGAAAACCAATGGAACATGTTGCAGAGAAAGGAACTGAAGTTACACAGCTCTGAAGAACTAGTTTAGGGTCAAGGGTCAGGAGCTCTGAGCTTGGATTCTCTCTGCCCATCATTACAGATGGGATATTAAGGTCATTTGTTGGTTTTTTTGGGCTCTAACCTTGTCTCCGAAGTCAGGACAAGTGTGCCTGCTACGTTGAGTTCTGGCAATACAGCAACATATTGCTGACTTCTCTGACCAAACCTGGGTTTTGTGCCATCAAAGGATTGTGAAAATATGCCTTCCTGCCCAGCAATACCTGCTACTTAAGGGGGTGATGACCTTACTGCCCTCCCATGGTTGTTGAGAGATTTTATGAGTCGATAATGTGACAAATAGTAATAAATGTGAACTCTTACTAGCTAAGGTGCTTAGCAGGGCCCCTGGCACATCAAGAACACCTAGGAAAGGTGGTGTGTACTATGTGAAAGGTACTACGTGGACAAGATAGAGGAGTCAGTCATCCAGCAAAAAATGGCTCCTTCCCAGCCTGGTCAGCCCCAGCTCCCTCTTCAGAGGTAGCCAGACACCAGAGGCCAGTGTCTTGTGGGGTTCTGCAGCTGCACTAAGAACAACTACTGATGGGCACAATGATGGCACTGACATGGACACACTTGGGCAAGGCCTAGAGGAGAGCAGGCAGAAAGATGTGTGATGTCTCTTGGCCCAGAATGACACTGAGCTGGGCTTTATGTGCATCTCCAAAGCAGCAATACAGATGTGATTCAAAAGCCAACATGCTGAACAGAGCTCTGGCATGGCAGCTCTGTCTGTCAATAGTGGTGTGGACCCAGTCAGTGCCAAGGGGTGAAGGGAGGACAACTTGGGACACACTTATGGAGCCACAGTCCATTTCAGGAGCCCAGACATGGCTTCTGTTTCTCAGGATCTCAGTCTGCATTTTCCATCTCCACTCCTGTCCCTGACACTAGGATTTCCTGCTATCACCTCCAACTCACACAGCTAAAACCATGCTCAGAACCTCCTCCTATAAACAGCCAAGTGTTCCTATTGCTTGTCCCCTGACATGCAGTGAGGTGGTACCATGAGGCCATGTTGACTCACTCTTCATATCCAGGGGTCACCAAGTCCTTTAGAAATGTCCTCAATTCAGTCATTTCCTTGCAACCCCCTCTCTTTTATCCTTGCACAGAGGGCCTGAGCCTCCTACTAGGCTTCCTACTCCTGTTTCCTCCATTTAACAGATGTGTTGCCACACTCACTAATCCTTGTCATGTCCCTCGACAGCTCAAAACCCTCTCTGATCACCTGTTATTTCACACCACATCAAGATGCTTCCTGGGACTGACTGGGCCTTCCAAGGCCCCATCCAGCTGCTCAGTGTGCTGCTTTCTCTGCAGGTTGTTCTCTTTGCTGCTCTCACAAACACCATACTTACTGTTAATCCCATAAATCAGAGGAATTTTAAGCAGAATAGCTTTTCTTCTTCAAAGAACTAGGTTTTTATACAGATATATCAAAGCAGGAGGCTGGGCGAAGAGCTCGGAGGGGTACAGAATCTGGCTGTTCTCTGACTCTGTAGCCACTGTACCTGGCACACCCAAATCTTCCTTCTCACCCACCTGTTACTCCCCTTCTTGGCATCATTCCAGTTTTATGGCTCCTCCCACCTCACTCTGTAGCAGGAAGTTAGTTGCCTACAATGGACCAAATGTTTCTGTCCCTCCCCAAATTGTGTTGAAATCCTGCCCTCCAATGTGATGGTGTTAGGAGGTGGCACCTCTGGGAGGTTGTTATGTCATGGGGGTGGAGTCCCCATAAAAAGGACCCCAGAAAGGTGTCTACCCTCTTCCACCAGGTGAGAACTCATGAGAAGATAAGGAGATGACTGTCCAATGAGCCAGGAAGCAGGCCCTCACCAGACTCCAAACCTGAAGCACCTTGATCCTGGACTCCCTAGCCTCTAGAATTGTGAGAAATAAGCATTGCTCATTTGAGCCACCCCAGTCTATGGCATTCTGTTACAGCAGATGAGCTGGCTGAGGCTTTGCCTTTGCTAAGTGATGCCTGCATTTCCCTATGTGTCATCTCAGCCACAGGTGTTATAATGTATGCTTCTGTGTTCTTTGCTATTCTTTGCACATGTTTTAGAAGAAAGCTCCTTTTGACTGAATTAATGAAATTACCTGGCATACAAACCTATGTATGGAAGAATATGGAGCATCCCTGTTCATTCAATCCTTCCCACACACAGCCCCAGGGTTAACATAAAATTGTAGACACGAATAGCACCTGTGGGATGCTGTGGGGAGCACCAAGAGCCTGTGTAAGTTCACCTGTTACTGGAAAATTGCTGGCATTTAAAAATGCTCATTTCAATTTTAATCAGATTTGAGAATGTTTAGGTAAGCCAAGTGTATTGCGCAGGGTGCATAAGCAATGCTAAGTATGCCTCTTAACAATCACCAGAGTGGTAGGTGGTAGTATTGGAAGTAATGGTAGATACTATACCGTAACCATGATGCATGGAGACATTTTGCTGCAAAAGTTGTCATCTAGAAGCCGCTGGAATGTCGCATCTTTTTCTACAATTAACAGAAACTTGGCATCTGTAATTAGATCTGTGAAGCTAAGGCTGATAAACTAAAGACAAGAGTTTTCAGTTTAACCACCAACTACAGTACAGTCCTGAGTAGACTGACTCAAAAGCAGTTATATAGAGAATATTTTGATTTCACCTTCAATTACATAGTTAGACATAGTTAGACATGTCTCTCCCACTTCTTAGAAGTGAACTCCTAAGAGTCCTAACAGGACCACGTGTGTTCATCTTGATGGCCACAGAGTCTAATTTATTCCTTACACATGACGAAGGATTGGTTCATCAACGGAACAGATGAACATTCCAGAAGTTTAAACAGTTTTGTCACTTAAAGGATACTCCGAATTCCTTGAATATTAGATGGCACTGCAGTAGCCTAAGTTAAAGAAAAGTTTTTGTCTCAAATAAAAATTAAGTAAAAACTCCATTTTATTTATCACAAAAACCCTATGCTTTCATTTGTCTCTACAGTACCAGTCATGAGAGGTTTTTGTTGTTGTTGTTGTTTTGCGGTACTAGGGTTTGAACTCAGGGCTTCAAGGAAAGAAACAGTAGGAAATAGATGACCCCTTATAAGAAAGCAGACCCACGACCCACACTAGTTCCCAGCAGGGAGACTTTCTTGGACGTTTTGCAGGTAGCAGGCTTAATTAGCAAGCAGAAATTGATGAAGGAAAGCATCCAATGCAGGATCTCACAGACATTGCTTTCTCCTGTCCTAACTGCTTGCTAGGCCCAGCTGGGAGTTTAGGATTAAACGTATTAATTTCAGAACTGGACATTTTTATGGAGATTACATAAATAACCATGCTGAAGCAGTCAAGCCACACTCTACCTGAAAAGAACAGTCCATGTTTAAAGGGAATGTGTTTGTGTGTGTTTATTTCAATATAACAAGTGGCATATTGTTAAACTGCTCGATTGATGTACAGCCCCGTAAAGCATATGCCTACTTACCCTTCAGTTGTATTTTAAAATCTCAAGCTCTAAGTTACATAACAAAGTAAGAAATAAAATACATTTCAGGATGGAAGGAACTGACCAGGGTCTGAGCACATGAGCCCAGAAGGATGCTCACCGAGGCCCCACAAGTACAGTTCACTCTGGTGCCGTCTTCCTCCATGAATCTTAAATTGCCAGCAATTAGCCCTTTGGATGTAGATAACTGAAAAATAATAGACACACTTCAAATCTTTCCCACTAACATACTTTATGCTGCAGAAAGCCACTCCTCACACTCACTTGCTAAATTAAATTACTTGTGTTTTAGCTCAGACTGGAATTTAGAGATGAAGGCAAAAATATACAAGGACATTTAGGAATTAACAATATTTTCTAATTCACCTGTTTTATACTTCTCGTCATTAAAGGGATATTGGAAACTGGTCAAGTTTATGATGAGAAAAACATAGCATGAAAAATATCACTTTTGTATTAAAAAGGCAAAAATTACATTTATTTTTATCACAATTTTTGGCATTTTGCTTTGCAGTAGAATGTTTTGTATTAGGTACCACTCACTATGTGCAGACTCCTCCTGGGTACTTTTAACATACAGGAAATGTCATCAATGATGTTGTCCACAACAGTCTGGTTACCAAAGAGCTGGCTGTCGGTGTAATATATATCTCTATGAAAATGCAAAATATGCATTTTAATTAACCGTAACTTCTTTGACTATGACAAGTATCAGAATGTTATTTGAAGAAGTGTGTTAACTGAGTGAAACACAACCTATAAGGAAAGTAATTTATTACCCAGAGTCTAGCCTTACATGACTCTGTAAAGCACATAATAAAAGTTAATCCAACTAAATCTCACATTGCATTTAAAGATGAACTTACCAGAACAATATATTTACCTTTTGGTTGCATAAGTGTTGCTCTGTACTAATTTATAAATCATGGACAATATTTTAAGAATTAGAGCTGGAAAATAAGATGCAATAAAAAATTTACTTGTCATTTCTCTTACTAATTCAAAAGACACTGCTATCAAAGATTTTAACAGTCCCCAATTACTGTCCCTAATACTTTAAAAATAATCTTTCCAAAAGTTGAGGGTTAAGTACAGAATCATCGTCTGAAGAACCAGATAAAATTAACACCCTTTCTAGCAAAACAGAGAGTAATTTCCCACCAAACCATAGACCTTGAGAAATACATTTGCTTGGGAATGACAACCCATCTCCATTGTTATTAACAATGCAAAAGTCTAGAACATTATTTTATGTACAAGTGATCTATTAAAGGACAAGTAAAATACTTAAATAGTAAACAGGTAAAATTACTTAAAAATTACTTAAAGTCTAGGAAAAAAACAAATGCATTTATTACTTGATGCTAAGAAAGATTAATTTACCAAATTTTTGAACTGATTTTGGTGAATCACTTTTGATTTTTCTTGTGGTACAATGAGGCACCATCTGAAGACCCACAGAATCCTCAAACCTGTTGTGTTGTTTAAAACAAAAGGATAAAATGAAAAAGGCTTAAGTTCTGCATAGGAACAATACACACTTCATGTTCCCTTCTGCACATTTTGTAAATCCCACACTTTTCCACATAAACACCAAAGCTTTAGGAACACCTGACTTATGGGCTTAGATTGTGGCATGTGGTAATTCAGGACATACAGCAACACTAAGACACAGTGTTTAAAATAAGTAAGTTAAATACTTTTGAGTATAGGGTTGTGACTAATTTTTGGGGGAGACATTTAATGTAGGTTTTCACAAGCTTCACAATTTCATTAGTTTTAACTTATCTTACTAATTTGCTCATTTAATAGTTTGACTCAATTTAATAAGTTTTTAAATATTTTATTTCTAGTTTACCTGCAAAGTGACAGTCTGTGAAATAACCATCGCTATTAGGGTGGTAAATTGAGCCTCTCCTAAAGGTGGCAGAAGGCACCAGGCAAAGATGCCACATGTCATTGCTTCGAAACTAGATGAAATTCATCTTTCAAAACATGGTGCAAGGACTGGATGTGTGGCTCAAGCAGTAGAGCACCTGCTTTGCAAGTGCAAAACCCTAAGTTCAAACCCCAGTCCCACCAACAACAAAATGATGCAAGGGTGCAGTTTATATTAATTACATTGACCATAAAATAATACTTATCAGCTAAAGAGCCTCAAAACTCCTTTCATTCTGTTTATATAACTCTAACCAACTCAGCAACCCATCTCTACAGTTACCATTATTCAGTACAGAGTACAGGTTGAAAAAAACAAAACTGTATTAGTTAGGTTGGAGAATATGGAGAAAGCTGTGGGACAGGCAGGGCCAATGGCCAGGAGAGCCGCGCTCATGTCCTTGCTCAGAACGCTCTTCCTTCAGCAATGTGAGGACTGTGCCCTGAGCAATGGCCACACAATGGTGGCACCCACATCCACAATTCTCCTAGTGCTGCAAAGCTCAGAACTGTGCTTGGTGCCGATTTGTAGTGAGGGCATATGCATTTCCACTTCTAACCTGTTTCCCTGCTCCATTTTTTGTCACTTGCCTTGTTTTTCCCTTTGTCTTATCTTTCATGCTTACTTCTAGTTTGCAATCCTTACTGTATGGTATGCATTTTATAATCTTCCTAAACCTTTTGTTGGCAAGGTAAAGGCCATAAAAAGAATGAAATCTGACTAGAACCCTAACTCAAATAAGTTGAAATAATGACACAGCTACTACATTTACAAATGAAAACTACAAAATGCCCACTTTATATTGTCCCAGCTTGATCTGTTGTCAATTGTGATGGCGGGAGCCTCATTTCTTGCCAAGCTTGAGATTATGTCTTGGATAATGTTTTCTATAGATGCAAGAACCTCAGAGCTGAAACAATAAACACACCACGATTCAATTTTAATTACAAACTGTCCCTTTACAATATATAACACTTCCCTAGCTCAATATTAAGTTTTTGTTTCACTAGTTGTTTTTCTGTTTTGTTTTGTTGAGACAGTCTAACACTGAAGCCAAGGCTGCCTAGAACTTGAGATCCTCCTGCTTTGGTCTCCAGAGTGCTGGGATTACAGGCACGTACCACAAAGCCCAGCAATTTCATTTGCTTGTAATCTCATTTTTCAAATTACCAAGTGATGTCTGCCTTCTGCATTAATGACTAGCTCATATAACTTACATTTTTATCTATTCCTCATATCTAGTGGAATTTAAATACAAATTTATCAGCTTGATATGCTACTGATAAATGTATTAAGTTAAAATGATGTAATACTGGCTTTGAATTTCTTTCCCAAAAATGCAAAGCAAAAATATTTCAAAAGAAACACTTCTTTTGGCACAGTGCTAATTGATCTCATGCTGAAAATCAGCCCCTTTGGAATTTTAGTGATTCAGAAGGACAAAATTTAATCACCAGCATGAAACGAATAAATGTGCAAATTCTGCAGTAGATGGTCGACTGGGCAACTGTTACCCCATTTTACAGCAAGATATTAAGACTGAGCCCAGTTTTCCCTCAGCCAGCTGTTAATTTGACAAACCCTCAGCCTCACAACTGATCTGTTATCAATGACGTCAGCATGTTGACTGGGAAGGGAAAACAAATTACATCTAGAAAACGGGCATCATGTTGAGAGCTTGATGAAACGTCAGCACTTTTACTGAAAACTTACGTATCAGAAAATAAATTTTAAAGCAGTTAATGTTTTCTAAAATCGAGAGATAAAAAACAGCCCAACTATGTCATTTGTTTTTGCCAGTTTGGAAGGGAGAAAAAAAAAAGCTTCAGGGCAATGTTGTAAATGTCAAATTTAAGATATAGTCACATTCATCTCTCCATCTACATAAGCAAGGGACTTTTCACCCCCTTCTTTCACCCTAAACTAAATCCTTCTGTAAAGATTTGTCTGCTTGTGGGGTTTTGGGTAGTTGGTTTGTGCTTGAAAATAAAGATAGCAATTTGCTTGTGATGAAAAACTTTGCTGATAAACCAGAAAAACAAATGGAGTGCAAAAGAGCTTTTTAAATAGTCAGTAAGTGAGTAAGTTTTAAGTAAGTACACAAAAGTGCAAACACATTTTCTGTAGTTAATTCCAATTTGGGTCTCCAGAACGTCTGTAGATGGTTTTAACACTTGTACCTCGGCTCCACTGTCAAGAAAAACAGTCTTATTACAAATCCCTGAAGATGTGTCACTGTCCTTGTTACTTTGAGAAAACCATGATCTCACTTTCCTCTCCCCCACCAAAATCCTGAACGCTTTTCAAGTTAAAAATATACACAGATAAAAAACATCAACGCAAAGCCACACTGTGTCCCACACTATTTAACTGGTAAGGATTTTAGGGGACTTGGGGACGTGCCTGAACATTCCCTAGAAAGTCCCTCTAGAACCTTCCCTAGAAAGTCCCTCTAGACCCTTCCCTAGAAAGTCCCTCTAGACCCTTCCCTAGAAAGTCCCTCTAGAACCTTCCCTAGAAAGTCCCTCTAGACCCTTCCCTAGAAAGTCCCTCTAGACCTTCCCTAGAAAGTCCCTCTAGAACCTTCCCTAGAAAGTCCCTCTAGAACATTCTAGAGGGGGGATAGAGTATTCTGGAAGGTGACATTCTGAAGGGGACATTCTACATGGGGACTTTCTAGAAGGGGACGCTCTGGAAGGGGCCATTCTAGGAGGTGGCGGGTGGTCCGAGGCCAGGGTGAAGGGAGAAAGGCAGGCAGGGGCGCACGACGAGGGGTCTCGGGTTTGGGGACCTCCTCAGAGCGCCGCCTCAGGCCACGAAGGAGAGAACACTCCCGGGCTTCCCGGCGCCCTGAGGCCGTTCCTGTACCTAGAAGCCAGGTGGGTGCCCCTGCCAGGGGTCTCCCCGCAGCCTATCCTCAGGGTGGCCAACAGGGAGGCCCTATGCCGGTCCAGGACCTCGAAGAACGAGGCCTCAGGCCCCATGGGCGCAAAGGCCATGCTGGCAGACGTCAGAGAACAGCTCCCACAGCCGCCAATAGGGCGTCGCGGGTCCAGGTGGGTGCGCATGCTCACACCGCACTACTCAGGGTGAGGTGTGCGCAGGCGCATAGCCCTGGCTGGAGCGCCTAGGCTGGGTGTGCGCATGCGTGTAGCGCGGGGAGGCGGTGGGGGAGGCGCATAGCTGAGCGCGGTGTTCGGTGTCCTCGGACGCTTTCTGCCTGGGAGAAATGCTGCGTATCGCCATTTGGCACAGGTATGGCGAGCACCCGGGAACCTTCCAGACTGAGGTGAGGTTTCCTTGAGCCAATTTTATTTTTGAGCAGGAAGGATAATTTAGGGACGGCGATATATGCAAATTTTCACTTAAACGACTTGGGGGTTGGATGTAACTCAGTGGTAGAGCGCTTGCCCCACGTGACCCAAGCCCTGGCTTAGGTTCTCGGCCCCAGCTGTAAGGAGAATAAACGCGAAGATCCAGCTCTGGGCACTGGGTTTATCTGTGAGTCCAAGGATCCCAGCTCTTTTTTTTTTTTTTTTCTCGGTACTAGGGCTTGAACTCGGGGTCTACACCTTGAGCCACTCCACAAGGCCTTTTTTTGTGATGGGTTTTTTCAAGATAGAGTCTCGCAAACTATTTGCCCAGGCTGGCTTCGAACCATGATCCTTCTGATCTCTGCCTCCTGAGTAGCTAGGATTACAGGTGTGAGCCACAGGGGCCCAGTCCCAGCTCTTCTTAATGCTGTGCAGTAGTAAGGGTTTGCTGGGCCTCTCTTGTGAACCCCCCCTTACCACCCAGGAAGCCCCTCACGTGACTGCTTGGAGGAGCAAGAATGGGCCACACCAGGCAGGCGGCCTCATCCAAAATCTCAGCCCCACCATGGTGTAGGACCGTTACATTTAGCAACTTAAAGTACAGGTCACCCAATTAAACTTGAATTTCAGATAAACAATGAGGACTTTTTTTTTTAAGGGTAACTCCTTCCCATGTAATTCTTGGGACATAATTTTTACAGAAAAGTTTTATTTTATTGTTTATCTGAAATTCGTATTGAGCCAGCTCAGTTCTCATCTCCCTAATCAAGGCCTGGAAGCAGTAGGGGCATTCATCCTCCCCAGAGAGGAAACAGCAAAGGCCTCTGAGAGAAGAGGGTATTCAGTGACACTGTGGAAGCTGTCTCCCAGGTCTAGAACCATTTCTGGCTCCTTTTCTCTCTCTGCTGAGTGAGGACAGGTGCGCTGGATCACTTGGCTGTAGACACAAGTAGATCAGTGGCATCAAGACATGTCCCAAGCTGGGTGGTGGCCTAGGGAGGAGGTGGCCTCCACAAGGCAAGCAAACCTACCTGTACCTTCCCCTCCTGCAAAAGAAACAGGTGGGCCTGGAAAGGGTCTCTGAGGCTGGCCTGAGCCCTGCATGTCACTGCCTCCACTCCAAAGGTGCATGTGTCCCTGTGGTTGTTTGCATCACTCCCACCTCAAGGTCAGGTCCCAGCCCCAAACTGTAAGATGGAGCCATAGCATTTCCTTCACTTCTTGGAGAGTTTATAAGGCATTTTTCTTTTGTGTCTTACAAAAAAAAATTACCTAACTCAGAAGTGTATGCAGTAAAAGTGAAGAAACCCTCCCCGCTGCGGGACTTATGCTATGCCTTCATTTATCTGGCCTTTTACTTGGCAATCAGTTGTAGGAACCCAGCTTTATTTCTCCCCATCCCAAAGGCTTTGCACATCCCCTTCCTTAGCAGCTAGGAATCCTTGTCCTTTTCTTCCCCTTCTCTCTCCACCCCCCCACCCCATGTCCATCCTAGCTGATTCTCCTGTGCCCTTCAGATCCCTCCCAATATCACCTGGACCACCTGCCCCTCTAAACCTTGCCTTGTGGCCACCCATCTCCACCTGCCCCAGGAGGGCAGCAGGCTGTGCTCATTCTGCACCCCCATGTGTCCAGTGGCACATGGAAAGCACTAGACAGTGTTGGTGAATGAACGAATGATTGAATGAAGGAGTTACCTATTTACTGTATTTCATCTCAGACAACTTTTTCTAAGTGTCCAGATCAGCATGATCTTTATTGAATAGACCCCATTCTACAGACTTCTGGTACTGCTGCCTCTGGTAACTACAGCAACCACCATTTGCTGATGGTCAGACCCTGGGCCATGTGCTCCATGTACAAAAACCCAGGGAAAGTGGAGGCTCTGAGAGGCAGTGTAGATAACATTTCTGGTTTTCACAGAGGTGCAAGTGACGAGGTGCCGACAGGAACCCCTTTTCCATCTCAGCTGCTTTCAATTTTGCCCCAAAGTCAAGGTGATTTATTTAGTATTGATGAATCACTTTGCCCATTTTGGTAACCAGTGATTGAATAATAGGCGTGTGATGTAAAGCAGATCAATAAAACAAATGTAAATCCAATTTTAATAACCCATATTTGTAAGCCTGGAGGTCCTTTTATTGTTTTGTTTTGTTTTGAAACAGGGTCTAACTGTATATGTCCAGACTGGCCTGCAACTCTCTGTGTAGGCCAGGCTTGCCTCAACTTGTGATCCTCCAACCTTAGCCTCTTGAGTAATGGGACTCCAGGGCTGTGCCACCATGCCCAGCTTCTGCGGGTCCTTTTAGTAATGAAGTGCCTAGTTCTATTTAGAGAAAGAGAAAAGGAGAGGGGAGGGGAGAGAGGAGGGAGAAGGAAAGAGGAGGAAGAGAGATGGAGGGAGAGAGGGAGAGTGGGGAGAGGGAGAGAGAGGGGGGAGAGAGTGAGAATGAGAAAACACCATTAGGGACTATAATGAACCCAACAGTATCCTCTATGGCTGTCCACTCATAGCCAGGCTTTTTCTTACTCACACCTACCCCCCTCCCTTCTCTCCCACCAGGTTATTTTTGAAGCAAATTCCAGATGTCATATTATTTCATCTATAAATATTTCAATATCCAGCTCTAAAAAGTAAGACTTAAAAAAAATAACACCATTATCATGCTGAAATGTGTGGGTGGTTTTTTTTTTTTGAGATGGTGTCTCACTGTGTTTCCCAGAGCTCAAGTGATCCTCCTGCCTCAGTCTCCTTTGTGTGGGGACTACAGGAATACTCCACTGTGCTCAGCTGGGTCACTCTTTAATACTGCCAAATATTCTGTCTGTTGACGTTTCCCTAATGTCTCATGAATTGCTTTTCATTTAAAAATTATTTCAATTGACAAAAACTCTGTTATTGTATAAAATCTGTTATTTTGAAATTTGTTTATACTGTAGAAGTGCTAAAATGAGCCATTCACATGTGTATGACCTCACACACTTACACCATTTTTTTGTAGTGAGAACGCTTGAAATCTACCTTCTCAGCAATTGTCAAGAGCACTTTGCAGTGCTGTTAACTCCAGTCACCATGTTCAATTGCTGTCTTGAACTGACTCCTGTCAGCTGGAATTTTATGTCCTTTCACCTGCAAATGCTAATCTCCTTTCCCCAGCCTCTGGGGGAAGCCCCGTTCCCCTCCATGTCTGTGAGTTCTGCCCTTCCAGATTCTGCATGTAAGCGAGACTGAGCAGCATCTGCCATCTGGACCTGGCTTAGTTTACTTAATGCCCTCTAGGTTCATCCACATTGTCACACAGGGCTACATGGTGTTCCATTGTGTATATCTGCCACGTTTTCTTCATCCGTTTGTCTGGTGATAGACACCTTTCACCCATTAGAATGGCCAAAAGACAAAGTCAAAAAGACGAGAGGTCAGTGTTGGGGAGGGCATGGAGAAAAGGGAACCCTTACATACTGTGAGTAGCAGCCATCTTGGAAAGCAGTATGGTGGTTCCTTGGAATATTCAAACAGAACTACCGTGTGATCTGTCAATGCCACCATGGATATGCCACCAAAGTAGATGAAATCTACATGTCAAGGAGATGTCCACAGTCAGTGTTCTCCACTGTAATGCTACATAACCACTGTTACCTTTCCAGTTTCTGATCACCGATGTGCAGCTAATGTCCATTCTGCATGGCTGGTGGTCGATGTGCTTTTAAGTCTCCTCTACTCTTGGGATTCACCTCCTTGTTTCCTCCCTCCCGGCTTTTGTGTTGAAGCAGGCATTTTTTTCTAGAGAGTTTGCCCAGTTCAGATGTTGTGTGTCACATCCTTGTTTGTGGTGTTTCCTGCAAATTGGTTGGATTTTGAGGCCTCGCTATTTCTGGTCTGATTTTTTTTTCTGTTAGTAAAAATACTTCATAGATGGTTTAAGGTGTTTAGGACCTCCACTGTCACCTTCTAGAACTTACATGGCTCAGGGCTCCTGGTGGAGAGCTCCAGAGCCAAGCTAGGTGCTTGGTCACGCCCAGCCACAGCCCCACCAGCTGCAGCGGCCTTCTTAGAAGATGCTCCTGAAGAAAGGTGCGCAAGCGTGGATGGAGTTTCCCCTGCACCTGTGGCATCCTGCAGCCTCGGCCCGAGCACCTGTGCTCCACTATGGACGGCTGCGATCTGTTTTTCCATTCGTCACTGGTGGACACTTGGGCTGATTCCACTTTTTGGCTATTATGAATCACTCTGTCAATATTCGTGTGCAGGTTTTCCTGTGGACATGTGTTTTCGCCAGGCTGGGTGGGGCACCTGCAGAGGAGCATGCTCTGAGATGTGTGGGTGCCCTGGTTTTGTTTACTCTTCCATCCCACTCTGACCCCTACATCCAGAGCACAGGGTGTTGGTCAGAACTTCATCACTTCCAGCTGTGTGAGCTGTGAACTTCTCTGTGCCTGCATTTTCCCATCTGTAAGAGGGAAAGGTGAAATTCAGCTCCTGTGGCAAGTGCTGGATGCACTGTCTATAGTCAGTCAACTGATGTTGCAGGATGGCTGCTGGCCCCATGAGTGGCTCTGCAGGCCTTTGTAGAAGTATTGTGTGTGTCGCCTAGGCAATGACAATGGCATGATGAGGACGTTCACAGCTTCACCTCCTCTGGGTTTTGCCAACTGAGGTGACTGAACCAGGGTGCCTTCCAGAGGAA